CCTGCTCCCCTGCTCCCCTCCGCGTCGGTGGCGCTCCTGGGGCCCAAAGGAGGAATCGTGACCTGGGTTTTTGCCTGTGGCGCTCCTGGGGCCCAAAGAAAGGAATCGTGACCTGGGCTTTTGCCTGTGGCGTTTTTTGTTTTGCCTTGCGCGTCGGGCCCCCGGGCCCTGCCGGAGAGCGCGCGCGGGGCTGGGGGTGCTCCCCTGCTCCCCTGCCCCCCTCCGCGTCGGTGGCGCTCCTGGGGCCCAAAGAAGGAATCGTGACCTGGGTTTTTGCCTGTGGCGCTCCTGGGGCCCAAAGAAGGAATCGTGACCTGTTTTTTTGCCTGTGGCGTTTTTTTTTGCCTTGCGCGTCGGGCCCCCGGACCCTGCCGGAGAGCGCGCGCGAGGCGGGGGAGGTGCTCCCCTGCTCCCCTGCTCGCCTCCGCGTCGGTGGCGCTCCTGGAGCCCAAAGAAGGAATCGTGACCTGGGTTTTTGCCTGTGGCGCTCCTGGGGCCCAAAGAAGGAATCGTGACCTGGTTTTTGCCTGTGGCGTTTTTTGTTTTGCCTTGCGCGTCGGGCCCCCGGACCCTGCCGGAGAGCGCGCGCGGGGCGGGGGGGTGCTCCCCTGCTCCCCTGCTCCCCTCCGCGTCGGTGGCGCTCCTGGGGCCCAAAGAAGGAATCGTGACCTGGGTTTTTGCCTGTGGCGCTCCTGGGGCCCAAAGAAGGAATCGTGACCTGTTTTTTTGCCTGTGGCGTTTTTTTTTTGCCTTGCGCGTCGGGCCCCCGGACCCTGCCGGAGAGCGCGCGCGGGCGGGGAGGTGCTCCCCTGCTCCCCTGCTCCCCTCCGCGTCGGTGGCGCTCCTGGAGCCCAAAGAAGGAATCGTGACCTGGGTTTTTGCCTGTGGCGCTCCTGGGGCCCAAAGAAGGAATCGTGACCTGTTTTTTTGCCTGTGGCGTTTTTTTTTTGCCTTGCGCGTCGGGCCCCCGGACCCTGCCGGAGAGCGCGCGCGAGGCGGGGAGGTGCTCCCCTGCTCCCCTGCTCCCCTCCGCGTCGGTGGCGCTCCTGGAGCCCAAAGAAGGAATCGTGACCTGGGTTTTTGCCTGTGGCGCTCCTGGGGCCCAAAGAAGGAATCGTGACCTGTTTTTTTGCCTGTGGCGCTTTTTTTTTGCCTTGCGCGTCGGGCCCCCGGACCCTGCCGGAGAGCGCGCGCGAGGCGGGGGGGGTGCTCCCCTGCTCCCCTGCTCCCCTCCGCGTCGGCGACGCTCCACAGGCAAAAACGATTGTGTTTGCCTGTGGTGTTTTGTTTTTGCCTTGCGTGTTTTTTTTTTGCCTTGCGCGTAATCTCTGGATTCAGTGGTCACCTTCCTCACCCAGGACGAACAGCTGGATGTTGCGACTCTTGCGGCCCACCTCCACTTCAGTCGAAAGTGCTCTGGTGCCCGGCTTTGCTCGCGTGCTCCCGCGCCTTATGCGTGGCACGTTGGACCACGTCCACCCATTGCTCGCCGTCCTGTCTCCCGCAGCCAACGATGCGCAAGAGCACGGCGCTCTGCGTGGCTTTGAGTCTCCGCAATTCTTCAGCTCGTGGCGTCCACGATTCAGCAGCCCACAGCACGCTCTCTGTGACCGTAGTGTCAAGCAACTTCAGACGCTTTTTTTCAAAGAATGCGCTTATTCAACAACAAGCGCTTCCAATCCAAAACATTCCTCCACCCACCCACGATCCGGTTCTCGATCTCGGCCCTGGTGGCGTCCTCCAGGGAAACGACAATTCCGAGTAATTCCAGTAATGCAGAAGCTGTCAGCCAAAGGGACCTGGGCCCTGTGCTTGAAGGTCGCCCTGTTGGTCTGCACCTTGCACTTGGTCGGGTGCAAGGACAATCCCCCCCTCGCCAGAGCATCCCTCAACGTCAGAGTCATCCGCTTGATAGGAAGCCAGCTTCGCACGATCAGGGTTTGACCATCTGCGAATGCCACGTGGGCAAGGCGATGGCCCCAGGTCCTGCCCAATATTGGTGCCATAACCCAGTCTTCTCCAGACCACGCTCGCCTCGCGCACCACTCCATCAAAAATCCGCCGGCCCCCTTGTGGGGCCACCAGGCTGCAAGGCACGGGTTCGCAGTTTCCAGTACCAGTTGTAGCTTGTAGTTTCCAGTGTTACAGTTCTGCTTCTTGCTGACTACTGTAACTAGTTGATTGACCGCGCGAGGGGGGGGGGGAGGCCCAAACGGGATTTTTAGCACCCCCTGGGCGCGTTGTCTGAATTGCTGGGGGGGCTCGAAATCGACACCCCTCACGCAGATCCGCGGGGTCAGGGTCCAAAAACACAAAAAGAATGTGCCACATTTCTGAAATTCGGTGCCACTCCTCACGCAGATCCGCGGGGTCAGGGTCCAAAAACATAGGGGATTTGCCACATTTTTGGAATTCGGTCCCACCCCTCATGCACATCCGCGGGGTCAGGGTCCAAAAACACAAAGGATTTGCCACATTTCTGAAATTCGGTGCCACCCCTCACGCACATCCGCGGGGTCAGGGTCCAAAAACATATGGGATTTGCCACATTTCTGAAATTCGGTGCCACCCCTCACGCACATCCGCGGGGTCAGGGTCCAAAAACACAAGGGATTTGCCACATTTCTGAAATTCGGTGCCACCCCTCACGCACATCCGCGGGGTCAGGGTCCAACAACACAGGGGATTTGCTACATTTCTGAAATTCGGTGCCACCCCTCACGCACATCCGCGGGGTCTGGGTCCAAAAACACAAGAGATTTGCTACATTTCTGAAATTCGGTGCCACCCCCCTCACGCACATCCATCGCAAGGCGTGGTAACCCAAACTGCGAGTACTCCCTCGGCCCTTTAATCCCAAGGTGTGGTAACCAAGCTCGTAAACCATACACGTCTTACCAATCGCCCTGTGTGGTAACCCCTCTTGTGATCAGTTGGTTTTGCCGATTGCGAATCGGCCTCGCATGAAGTTCCGATACTGCTGCACGACAGCGCCAAAGCCTCATGACTTAGCTCTTCCATGGGCCATTCTCCGAGAGAGGGGGCCGGCGGCAGGGGGCGAAGCCCTTACGGATGAAATTGGACAACTCCGGCGATACAGGGTCGCCTCGCTTCACGCCCCTCTGCACCAAGAAACGCTGGCCCTCCGCGCCGTCCCATATCGAGACATATCCTTTGACGCCGTATTAACCGATGACGGAACGATCTCGTTCCTCATCAAAGCGTCTAACACAGCAGCGTGGTGGTCTCTGACAAATGGTTGTTCCACGTCCAACGTGGCAATCCACAGTTCCACGACCCATTGCTGTGGGAAAAGAAAAAGAAACAAGAGAACCAACGTCCATATCATTGATCCGTGTGAAATGATGTCGGGCCGACGACCAATCGGCAGATTTAATGACATCGACTCGCCACTCGGCATGCCTGAGCCCAATCGGTGCTGGGATGGAGGAGAAATGGAGCGCAGGCAAAACTACAAAACACACGTGAGGAGCATGTCCAAGATTTTCTGAATGGTGCCTTCTCGTCTTGGCCCCATCATCGTCTCTCCCGGCGAGAGCTGGAATGGGCTGGCGGTGAACGCGAAGCGTCTTGAACATCGCCAAGGCCCGAAAGCATGCACTAGTTGCTGAATGAGTGGAGCGGTCTGGGAGTTCTCTTGAGGCCATTTTGGAGCCCGCTTTTCCCCTGTTGGAGCCCTCGTAAGGGAACTCTCGAAGTCTGTTAGGCTCTCTGGGGCTCTCGTGGGCCCGCCTGGGAGACTCGACGGAAAGTCATCATCCTCATCGTCCCTTCGGTTCCTCCCTCTCCCCTCCTCCTCCTCCTCCTCCTCCTCCTCCTCCTCCTCCTCCTCCTCCTCTCCTCCTCCTCCTCCTCCTCCTCCTCCTCCTCTCCTCCTCCTCCTCCTCCTCCTCCTCCTCTGTGTCCCTCCTCCTCGTTGTCCTCCTCCTCCTCCTCCTCCTCCTCCTCCTCCTCCTCCTCCTCCTCCTCCTCCTCCTCCTCCTCCTCCTGGGGGTGCGCTGAGGTCGTCTCGGGGGCTCCTGCCCCCCCCCAAGGCCTGGAAGCAGGCTCCGCGATGGGCGGGGGCCCTCGGGAACCCCCCCAGGTGGGGCGGGGGGTTCTGCTGTGCTGCAGCCTTCGGGCCTCCCGGACAGAGCTGCAGCGGCGCCCCTCCTGGCGCCCCACCCTGAGGCCGCGGCGCCCCTCCAAATGGGCCCGGGCCTGCTCGAGATCGGCCCCCGGACCCCCTCCCAGGGTCCGTGCTGGAGCCCGCTTCTCGGCGCGGAGCACCAGACCTCCGAGGGCATGTCCCTCTCGACCCCAGGCACTGTTCCTCGACTCTCCCCCGGGGCTCGCCATCGGGGCAAAGGGGCCATCCCAAGTGATCCTGGGCGGAGAGCCACGGCCGGGGAGGGGGATCGGGAGATCTGCGGCGCACACATGGGGGTCGGGGGGGGGAAGGCTTCTTGAAAGGAGGCTGCTTCTTCTTCTTCTTCTTCTTCTTCCAGGACGCGCGGGCCGTGCATCTACAGAGAAGGCCCGCGCCTTCTAAGAAGCAGGGCGCTTCTAAGAAACCTGACCCCCTGCCCCTACCCCCCTTCTGTGCGTGGCCGACGCATGTCGCCGCGCCGTTTGTCCTGGATGCGCCCAAGTGGACGACGCAGACACCACGGCAAACCCACGGTAAACCCTGCGCCCCGCGCCAAGCACACGATACCGATCACCGCGGCAAACCCCACGACGAGCCCCGCCTCCGAGGCGGGATCTGCCCTGGTGGCCGAGGCGCCCTCCGCAAAAGGGAAGGCCGTGCGTCGGAACAAATGGCGCGGCAACACATGCGGGCGTCGTGAGCAGATCGCCGCGGCCATGATGGCCACGTCGGGCCTTGGGCCCCTCTCAGATCGGCCGGATTCGGAAGCTCGTGGGTGGGGACTGCGTCGGGCGCTCCGGCCGTGGTTTGCTTCCACGACTTCGCGTACGATGTCGCGTTTTTTCTTGGCGGCGCGAAATGTCGTAGTAAGAACTCGTCCTCCTCCTCATCATCCGCGTGCTCTTCTAGCCAACTTTATTTGCAACGCTCGCAAGACAACCAGCCCATCCTTACAACACTCCGTATTGATACCGCAAAGACAGCGCATTGCCTAGTCTCACAAAGCGCTTCAAAAAATGCTTCCGCGCTCTTTGCAATCGACCTGTGATTGCAAGGAGCAGCCAAGCATTTTCCTACAAAGACACCCGCTGAGACTACGAGGCCCGCAAAGGAGGCGGCCCGATGGCAGAGACAAGCCCCAGCAAAGGGGGACAACACTTCCTTGGTACGGAAGGCTCGTGTCGTGTCGACCCCGGCGTTGGTCCCTGATGCCGCGGGGATCGTTCAACCTCGAACGATCGGCCGTTTCCAAAACGTTCGATCGTTCAACATCGACTGATTCTGGGTCGCCAGCGGCGTTCAGCGTTGAACGCCGGCGGCGGGGTCGCCGACGGTCGGCACGACACTCGGGTCGGGCGAAAGGGGGGGATAGCAGAGGGGGGGGAGAATCAGCTCACGTAGCTGATTTTCCCGGCGCCTCCCGGCGCCGGAGGCGGCCATGTATCGAGGAATGGGCCCCTCGGTGAGGCCGAAACCAGCTGCGTGCAGCAGATTTCGGACCCCCCCCTTTCCCAATCCCCCCCTTTCGCCCGGCCCGAGACACAGACCTACCCTACTGCCTGTCCACTGCAGACCCCGGCGGCCGCGGGCGAGGTGCCCCCGTGCCTCGGCCCGGCGGCCGAGGGTTCGAGGGCCCGGGCGAGGCGCCCGCGGCAGGCGGGGGCGCCAGAAGCCGCGCGGTGCCCGCGGAGCTCGCGCCTCGGGAGGTCGTCGCCGGAGGTCGCCCCCTCGCCCGTCGCCCTCCCAGTAGATACTCCAGACTTCGTAATAAAGGGAGGGGGCCTCACTTCGGGGGGGTCTCTTCCAGGCCATCTTGGAGGGCCTTGGGGGGGTCTGGGGGCGATGTTTTGGAGGGTTCTCCCACGGGGGAGGTCTGAAATGGCTTGTCTTGGAGGGTCCAGACCCCCTCCCTTTTATTACGAAATCTGGAGTATCCTCCCCCTCCTCCACCTGGCCGCTGCCGCTGGGGAAAGCTCGGCAGGGCGCGGCAGCAAGACAGCCGACGTGCAAGAGCCGAAGGCAGACGTGCCTGCGGGGAGCGTGCGCCTTCGACGCATGTGGGAAGGCGTGGCCTGTACGAATGCGGGAGCCCGCATGAGCTTGGAGCACATGCGGGAACATGCACGCGGTAAACATGCCGGAGCCGAATGCACGAATGCTTCCCGCAGGAGCAGGTGTGCCCGCGGAAAGCATAAGTCACGAAAGATCGGCCATGCTGGCGGCGAGGGCGAAGGCAAACTGTATTCGGGAAGCATGCAAGCAGGACCTCACGTCGACGCGACAGGCACAGCAGGAGGGTCGCACGCCAACTTTGGGTTGCTTATCTTCTTGACGTGTTTCTTCCCAGTCCTGTGGTCCTCCCACTGCTTCAGGGAGTTCAGATGCATGCCGCACAAGTGGCAGTCAACCCCTCCTGTAGTAGGATTGTAGAACGAAAATCTCGCATCTGCTCCATGTACCCGCAGACACCTTCATGCCAAAGTGCGACGAGGCGTAAAACGTGTTTCGCTGGCACCATCCCATCCCGTACTTCCACACACTCCATGTTTAAAATTACCCTGGCACGAACCTAGTTCGACATGGATATGCTGGAGGCATACATGCACGACGCACTACAACGCATTGCATCGCAGAGCAACGCATGGTAGTTAAGCACACCACCACTTAAAGCAACATAGCATGAGAACTTGAACAAACGGGATGGCACAACATCGCATGGTAACGCATAGCCTGGCACATCATGAACTGAACATAGTGACATAACACAACGTTGGCAGCATGACACCGCTCGGAATTATAGACTATAGCTTTTCGCATACAATGGCAAAGTAGCGAAGCGCACGTCATAGCATAGTATGGCGGTGTACACACCGATTAAAAACAGAAATGCGTAGTATGGCATGGCGTGGCAAAACATATCATGGCAGTGGCGTAGTCCGCCACTGTGCCCCGTGGCAAGTTTGGGCGTAAGTACTAGAATGCCAAGTGCTGTCTGGTAGCGGTTCTGCAATTTTCTAAGGGCCACCCCCCTCTTCCGTCGGCACACGTTCGCATGCACCGCCCCCTCTTGCCGCTGCCACAGTCCCCTACAATATGTGGCACGTTCGTGCTCCCGAGGCCAAGATGCCTTCACAATATGGCCTAAGACGGCCTAAGATGACTTCGAGACGGCCCACGAGACCTTCGAGGCGTCCCAAGAGAGCACCAAGAACCTTCCCACGAGGGCCCCGAGAGGCAACACACATTGAGGATCCTGGGCTGCCTCCGATGTTTTGGGCTTAATCGGCTTTTCGAACTTGTGACGCTCCAAGGCGGCCCAGGAGGCCTCCAAGAATGCCCAGAGCAGGCCCAAGAGGCCCCGGAGGGAGCCCCAAGACGGCCCAAGAGAGCTCCAAAACAGCCCAAACGACGCCGAAGACGTCCCATGAGGGCATCAAGACGGCCCCAAGAAAGGCCCAAGAGGGGGAACACGAAGCGACAAGTCGAACCTTCCGCGAGGACCCCAGGAGGCCCGAAGAGAATCAAAAAAGGCTCCCAAGAGGCCCCACAACGGCCACCGAGAAGCCCAAGAGACCCCAAGACTGCACAACTGAGGTCCACAAGGGCTCCTCAAGAAGTGGAGACGAAAAGTGTGACATGTGACGGCGTTTCTCGTCCTCCTCCTCCTCCTCCTCCTCCGCCTCCGCCTCCTCCTCCTCCTCCTCCTCTTGGTCCTCATCTTAGTCATCCTCTTCTTCCTCCTCCTCCTCCTCCTCCTCGTCCTCCTCGTCCTCCTCCTCCTCCTCCTCCTCCTCCAGTTCACCATCGTCATCACCATCACCATCACCATCACCATCACCATCACCATCACCATCACCATCACCATCACCATCACCATCACCATCATCATCATCATCATCATCATCATCATCATCATCATCATCATCATCATCATCATCATCAACATCAGCATCAGCATCAGCATCAGCATCAGCATCAGCATCAGCAGCATCATCATCATCATCAGCAGCATCAGCATCGGCATCAGCATCAGCATCAGCATCATCATCATCATCAGCATCGTAATCATCATCAGCATCAGCAACATTATCATATTTAGCATTGTCATCGTATTCGTCATAATCATCATTATAATCAGCATCATAATCAGCAACATCATCGTCAACATCATCATCAGCATAGTCATTGTCATCGTCATCGGCATCGTCATCATCATGATCAGCATCATCATCACCATCATCAGCATCACCATCACCATCACCATCATCATCATCATCATCATCATCATCATCATCATCATCATCATCATCATCATCATCGTTATCAAACTCATCATCACCATCATCGTCATCATCATCATCATCATCATCGTCATCAAACTCACCACCAGCATCATCATCACTACCACAGACATCAGCATCCCATCCTCACCACCACCGTCATCAACAGCATCGTCACCATCATCATGACAGTCCCCTGCCTCATCGTCGTACACCACCGAAAGAGACTGGGCTGATACGGTGACGGGACTTACCGCATGCACATGGATAACGCATGGCCTGCATTGCATAGCGCAGCATGGCACTGCATTCCGCAACATAAGATGGCATATCAGACCACGCCGCTGCATTGCATTACAACATATCATTCATTGCAGCGTGCTTCACGGCATTGCGCAACACGGCAAATCACAACAACAGTGCACAGTAGAAGCTGGCACAGCATCGTTTTGTATTGAATATGACAATGGCATGGCGTAGCCTGGCATACTTTGCATGGCATTGACAGTTGCAAACAAAGGCACGGCTGCACGTCTCAGTACTGTTGTTCAGCATAGCAAGGCAAAGCAAATCGACCAACACCAGGGACAAACATCGAGGTACAAACGCCGGGGTCACAAGGTACAGGCTTAACACGGGAAGCCTAGGCAGCACTCCTGCACACAATCCCTCCCCCTCCCCTCGTCTTTTTCGATCGGAGTGATGGTGTTGATGCTTCCGAAGACGGTCCCATAGATCCGATGCATTTTTTATGCGGGGTCCCCGGAACTCTGGACCCTGTCCTCCGGGCGGGTTTCATCCCGAATAGAATCGGTGCTGGGCAGCCCCAGCATCCCGAGTCGGCGTTTGGCGGGCCCCGGGCCAGGCGATGCTCCAACGGCGAGCAGCCCCCGCCCTGACTTCCTCAGTGCGTTGGATGTTCGGGACGCAGTCGTGTCCTCCAAAATGCTCCCAAAAGGGCCCCCGAGCAGCCCATGGGGCGCCACCAGAACACGACGCCGGCAGACCACGGCGGACGCCTTTTGTTCGGGGTCTCCTCCTCCTCCTCCTCCTCCTCCTCCTCCTCCTCCTCCTCCTCCTCCTCCTCCCCCACCTCCTCCTCCTCCTCCGCTCACGACCCAAGGAAATGCAGATACTCATAGGTTCCTGCAGTGATGAGCGGGTGATGTGGCCTCTGTGGGCTACATTGCGCAAGCGGGGAAGTCACCCGCACACTCCTCCTCCTCCCCTTGTTCCTTATTCTCCTCCTCCTCCTCGTCATTATCTTCCTCCTCCTCCTCCGCCTCACCCTCCTCCTCCGACCCCTCCCCATTCTCCTCCTGATCCTCATCCTCCTCTTCATCCTCCTCCTATTGGCTCCTATTGGTTCTGTGGCTGTCCGTTACCGCTGAGCGATAAGACAACCCAACCCAAAACAGTACCGAGGGCAAGGGCAAAGAATGGGGTCAGGCGGCGGCGGACGTCCAACCCGCGTGAGCCGACAAGTTCAACGGGTATGACCTCCCAAAGCTCGCTCTTGAGCTGGGGGGTCGCTCCCGTTCCTGAGAAGTCTAAGACTATGCGCGGCAGCACGGTTGCGAGGACCTTTTCTCGCAAGGGGGCCCCAGGAGCCGAGACCGAGCGGACCTGAAAGCGCCACAACACGAGCACCAGGCCACCCTTCCCCCGCCCAGCCAGAGCCTGTGGCTCCTGTGAGCCGTCCTCGCAACTCTCGGCGGACCGCCGCAAGGCGTGAAAGCAATATGCGTCCTGGAGCGGCCTCTCTCGCCACATGTCGCACATGTGTACTGCTTACCTGCCTTCTCAATAAAGTACCCGTTGGGCTTGGGAATAAATTGTAAAATCTGGGGTTTGGGCCTGCGCGGCCTCTTAAATCTGGTAACATCTGGAAAATCCATGGCAGACAAATTAATCATGACTTCAGCTATCATCCAGGCCGATTGCATATCAAGACTACTACTGCGCGCGAGCTAAGCTTGAATTCGTGGGTCGGTGGGTTGTGCCTGGGCCCCAAGCTTGGCTAGCTCGTCGGCTCGCTCATTGCCTTCCCACGCCCGCTCGCTAGCCCCTTGCCTACGGGCCTGGCCAAGGGAGAGGTGAGACCTAGCCCTACTCACTGAAATCAATTCACGTCCGATGACTTCTGGCATGTCGAAAATATCTGCCTAATCTCTGAGTGCGCGATATCCTCAAGGTTCTGCCCTGGCCCGAACCCCCAAACATCTTCCACCATCCTGCAGTCAGTGACGATTTCAAGCCCCTGTGGGTTGGACCTCTCCTGCTCCTGCGAGTTGGACCACGCGCGGCAGCGGGCCGCACGCAGCCCCGACCACAAGTCCACTCACCGCGACAGAGACCACTGCCCACCCGGCTCTGGCAAGAGAAGGCGAATCGTGATCAGATCCCGACCCGCCTATGCACACTCGCTTGTCGAGCACGCCGTTGGGCGGGACCGCGTCCCATCGAAGTCCTGCGCGCTGGTACGATGTGGGCCGCGTCCACGCCGCGCTCGGGAATGGCGCCCTCGCGTGGAGCACCTCCGTGCCAGGCAAAACAGGTGCGCCCAGAAGCTCCTGAACGTCTAGATCTCGAATTCGTGGCCAATGGGCGGGGCATCTGAACCTACGCAGACATGCCCCAACGTCGCTCACGCACAGAATGCACCTGCTGTCCACCACCCTCCTGTCCTGGAAGAGCCTGTCCTGGGTCGGGCACCTGCCTGCGACCGCGCCCGCGAGACCCGCTGCCGCCTACCACCTGCCCTGCGCCCGCAGATCCCTGAGCACCTCGACCACAGGTTCGAACAGCGGCCCATCGCTGAGGCCCTCGACGCGACCGCCCCCCAGGCTCAGTATCGAACAGCCCTCTCCAGAATCAGTTGTAAGGGTCGGCCTCCCAGATAGGCGGTGCCAATCTCCAACCCCGTCCTGGCCACGCACAAGTTCCAAGCCCTCGGTCCCAAGCCTATCCTTCCAAGGATCAAGACGACAGCGCCTGCAGGACCTCGCACCTGACTCCAGTCGAAGTCCTGCTTATCTCTGAAAACTTGAAACTCTGCTGCATCACCTGGGGCCCCGCCCACTTGCTCCTCGCCGCCAGGCCCCACATTCGGAGCGGAAGCGCGTTCGAGTCGCATGATGGGGTCCGCCTTGGGCCCCACGCTAAGGAG